AACAAAACGACAGCAACTTGTCTGTTCCCCTTCCCCCAATTCCCCAGCACTGTTCCCATCCCCCCAATTCCCCAATAAAAATCTTAAAAATAAATAAATAAATAAAAGCAAATGAGGATGGAGATAGAAGGTAGATGACGGCTGTCAGATACATTTGATGATTCTGGTTGTGACATAGTATCCCTAGTCTGAACCTTAAATCTCAAATGAGAAACCATTCATTGCCTCTTAGATTCAGTGCCTTCTAATGCATTCAGAAAACTTGGCTAACAGTTGTGCTTTGAAGAACAATTTTGACCCCTCACACTCATTATTTTCCAGAGCCCATCCCTACTTTGTCCTCATGGCAGCAGGAGAATGTGGACTCTGATGAAGCGCACCTCTCCCCGCAGGCTGGGCGCCTGATTCGTCAGCTTCTGGATGAAGACAGCGACCCCATGCTCTCGCCTCGCTTCTACGCGTATGGGCAGAGCAGGCAATACCTGGATGACACGGAAGTGCCTCCTTCTCCCCCAGACTCCCATTCCTTCATGAGGTATGCTTCTTTGTGCTGCTGATAGGCAAGAGCATCATCATTAGAAAGGAGAGCAATGGTGCCGATAGCCAGTCATTTTCTTTAATCAAGTTGTAAGTCTGTGAAGGAACATATTTGAAATTCTCCCTCCTAGTACACAGGTTCCCTCATAGTTGTTCAACTGAACTGTGGCCCAACTGTAACATCGCACGTTGACTTTCCATTAACACCTCCTTTCCAAAACTCTCAAATTTAGCTTTGAGGTCTGCAGCAGACATTCAGTCCTAACTTTGCTAATTTTAAGTGTAAGCTAGAGAAGGTTAGACCCACTTAGTAGGTGGGACATACAGAGCTCAAAGTCACAAAGTGAATTAGTGTCAAATTTCTATGATCCGAGAGGACAGAGACTGTTTGCGCCCTCGCCTCCAATGCTGCGTCCACATCCCCCCCAGCTCTTCCCAGCAGGCAGTGACACTGCTCAGGGGAGCTGACCCAAGTGTGCCCCTCACAGGCGGCGGAGCTCCTCTCTGGGGTCCTATGATGATGAGCACGAGGACTTGACACCTGCCCAGCTCACGCGAAGGATTCAGAGTCTTAAAAAGAAGATTCGAAAGTTTGAAGACAGATTTGAAGAAGAGAGGAAGTATAAAGTAAGTGCCCCCTCACAGCGTTTTCTTCATCCTCTCTTGTCCCCAGACATGAAATGCCAGCCTATCAACAACTCATAGAAGTGATAAAGGTTAAGAGAGATTTCTAGAGAATCTCAAAAGACAATAAAAACTGGATCGTGAACCCTGATAAACCCCAAACATCGTGTATCAGCATTTGCACAAGTGTATCTTTACAAATAAATTGAATGCTTTAGTCTACATTTTGTAAATTTATCAGTGAGCAGGAATGGGAAAAATCATTAAATGAAGTTTTTTGTTTGGCTAAAACCTAATTCAAGATTATCTTCTAAAATTTCATTAGTGCTGACCTCATTCTGCTCTCAGCTCTATCCTTAGTATCTCCCACAAGAATGGCAAAAAGGCATTTTTCAAGGTGGTTGAGGTATAAAATATCATGTGTCCCTCTGTTCTCTATTCTGTTAGCCTGACAGGTTGAACTCGACAAATAATGGGAAAGAGGCCGTGGGGCTCATAGAAATCCGTGATCATAAAAATCCAGCATTTTGCCTTTTAGGAACTATTGAAAAGCATCAAAAATAGCCAGCTATAAAGAAGGATCATGGAATTACACCTGTGAAGTTAGCTCTGATTGGTCATGGCTAATTTCTTATTCCAGTGGGACTCAACATTTCCTTCCTTTTTAAAACAAAATGATCATCAAATGCTTCGTCTTTTTCCTGCCCTAATTCCAAAACATTTCCTTTCATTTTCCTTCTCTCAGCCTTCCCACAGTGACAAAGCAGCCAATCCAGACGTTCTGAAATGGACAAATGATCTTGCCAAATTCCGAAAACAACTAAAAGGTAGGCACAGCTCTCGACCAATGACATGGTTTCTGTAAAATAAGCTGGGTTCAGAATCCATGATTTCGCCTCATGCCCAGTGCTACTGCTGAAATACTCCAGAAAAGACAAGTTCCTCTGCTCAGAATTCAGGGGACACCTTCTCTATGTCTCCCCATGGTCTTAAACACAGAGCAGATAAGATGAAAATTCTGCAACATTTCTTCATTTCCCTAAATCACTAATATACAGACGTTGGTTTCAATTCAACAGTCATTAAGTACCTCTTTAATCCATGGCTTTATGTCCTGTGATGTTAGAAGACAGACACAGAGATGAATACAAAAAGGATTTCATCCCTATCCCTCAAAGACTTTGCTGGCTTTTATGGCAATAAAGTCATATAAACAACTAAATAGAATACAAAGTAAAAATAATTCCAAAGTGAGGAATATAAGTCATACATAAAAAGTTGGCCAGCAGTTAGGTACTAGATTGTTGATAAGTCCCTTTAAACACTAAGGAAATGAGTATAGGAAGATATCTACCACATTCTGAGAATAGCAAACAGGTTGATGGATAAAATATGGATGCTAAATACAGTAGTCCAAGCTTTCTCAGGAATTAGGGTTAGGGAAACTGTCCAGATAATCTAGGAAAACATTATCATTTTTTGGGTTTTATATAATAACCTAGGGATTTCAGCTAATATTATAATGAGATACTTTCTGAAAAAACACGGGGCTAAGCAGTTATTGACATCACAGAAAAAATTTGGGTTCAGCAGGCATCGATTCTCATATGTCTCTTCCCCAAAATCTTTTCAACTAGAGTCAAAACTAAAGGTATCTGAAGAGGACCTAACCCCCAGAATGCGCCAGCGGAGCAACACACTCCCGAAGAGTTTCGGTTCCCAACTTGAGAAAGAAGATGAGAAGAAGCAAGAGCTGGTAGATAAAGCAATAAAGCCTACCGTGGAAGCCACGCTGGAATCCATCCAGAGGAAACTCCAGGAGAAGCGGACAGAAACGAGCCGTCCTGAGGACATTAAGGTGTGATAACTCTGTGAAGACCCCCAAGCTCATCCCTAAGCCATCCAAGTCAACATGGTAGAAGTAGAAACATAGGGCATGCCACATGGATCCCAGTGGAAGAGTGATAGAGTGACGCTTTTTAAAACCTCCCACACCCTCACCTTCCACACTTTTAGATATCTAAGGGAGCAGATGAAACCACTTCGAGTGTTTTAACTGTAGGTGCTTTGGCTTTTGATTACAAATTGAAAACAGAGAACTCTATTGTAAAGATTGCAGAACAAACTTGTTTCGGTTAATACACTGTTTGGTGACTCTCTGAGGTAGAAGGATTATAGATGAAACTTGGAGACTGTGTAACCTTAACTGTAGTCGTTGCTTGGGCCATTAAGCTAAGCCCCATGTGCCTCGCAGCTTTGCTAACCTCAATATTCAATGCACCTTTGCTGCCACCAAAGGAGATACAGGTAGCTGGTGATTCTGCTGTGCTATCCATATTTCTAGCAGGAGGTCAGAAAGAGTTCATTCTTTAGTGATCTTTGGATAGAGCTAGGAGGAGCTGTTGTATGCGAATTCTTTTTGACCTTTAGGAAATTCATTGAACTTAAAAATAGAAGTTGGAATGTTCACTAATGTTTCCCCCCTCTTTCATTTCTCTGTCCTTGTGTTTACACAGGATATGACCAAAGACCAGATTGCTAATGAGAAGGTGGCTCTACAGAAAGCTCTGCTATACTATGAAAGCATCCATGGACGGCCGGTATGTGAATGCACTGAATTTTCTTTTTGATTGGGGTAAATTATCTGGCTTTAGAAATGGATCTTCTGTGTTCAGTATTTTACAAATGAGGGAACCTATTTTTAGGAGATTACTGTATATTTTCACCCAAACTAGCCTTCTGAAGGCTAAACCTGTGATAAGCATTTCACTACCTGGTAGATGCTGAATTTAACTGAGTTCCAAAGAAAAATTAGTTTGCAACTAAAATTTAGTGACTGGTGGCCTGTTTCAAGGTAACAATGGTGGATGGGGTGGTATAAACTGGTGCACAACCCTAGAGTGAGGAGACTGCCCTGTCCCTAAGTCTGTCCCCATAAGCTGTCACTGGCTCTAGGCATTCTTATCCATAAAATAAAGGTGGTAAATTAGAATGATCTAAAATTCACTCTTTCTGCAATGCAATTGCAACCAGTGTTTGTCTGTAGAGAAGTTTCAGCTGCCCTTTGGAACCAAAAGTGAGAGGAATCCAAAATATGGCTTTCTCTTTTCATAACAAGGAGCATTTGAGGCAATTTGTTAGTCAGCAAGCGTTCATTGAATATTTGTTCTTAGTAGCCTGATAGGCTTCTCTCTTCCTTAAGGAACTGGTAATCAGAGATCCTTGTCAGTTACTCTTAGTAACCTCTTCAGAATGTTGTTAAGAACCCTATAAAACAATCTCTTACGAGCAGATATAAAGAAGCACGAAGTTTGTGTTCCCAGTAGGATTTTCATATTGCCAAAAAGCATGGGTCTCTTTTCCAGTTTCAGCCATAGTTATGTAATGGAGATAGTTTTCATCTGAAATAGGCTCTTTTAAATAAAGAAGCTTCCAGAATAATGCTCTAGACTCTTAAGGTCTGTGAGGACAGGTATCCTGGGTTTTGTGAACCTCATCCTCAGCAAGTACAACACCTGACATCATATGCCCAGTAAACTATCTGTAGAATGCATCTTCCATGGTATTTTGGTTCTGAATTTATGAGGTTTAAGTTTTAAAAAAAAAATAAGCTGGGGCTGACGATGATTGATTTTGCTGGCCTGTCCCTGCAGTGGAAAAATACTGGTGGTTTGGGATAATGGTCATGTTTCAAGCCAAGTTTTTTTTGTTGTTTTGTTTTTTTTCTTTCCCCAAGCCCAGTTGTGTTTTGGATTTTTTAAAGGCATTGAACCAAATAGTAAATGCACTGGAGCTCACATGTATTGTGAAAACTCTGTCCTTCTCCACTGGAGTATTCACAACTTTCAGAGTTGGAACTGAACTACTTCTAACAGAGAGAAACGCCTTTTCTCTGAGTCTTTAAGGATCTCCTCTGGCAACCAGACGGTCTTAGGTAAAGGAGGTGGGACTTGTGTGTTTTCTGTCTTTTCATTATATGAATTCACACTATGACATTGATAGACTCCTTTAAAGACTTGCTTGCCTGAGGCCCTGAGTTCTCTGCTGCGTTCTAGTCTGAACTTTACTGCAGGTTCGGGGAGTCATGGGCCGTGGTATTAGTTGCACTGAGTTGGACACAGATTCTCTCATTCTGCCTGGACTGTGGCAACCTAGATTCAGAATACAGCCCTAGTGAGACTAGCTCTGTGATTTTGGGCTACTTAGGTAACCTTTCAGAGCCTCAGGGCTTTTTCTGTATAATAGGTGCCTGTTATAGGTTGTCATGGAGACTACATGGTGTTACAGACACACACATTTACCTGTAGGCTGTCTCACATAGAGGAAGTGGGGCAGAGTGGCTTTGGCGGGGGAAGAGGGAATTGTACTGTAAATGATAGTTTTCACTTCCGTTACAATTATACGCTCTGCTCTTTGTGGCCTGCTTCTTATTAAGTGATTGAATCAGGGGAAAGGATGCACATTTTTAGCATTCTTATAATTTGGAATATGAAATATTAGTTCTTAGTCCTGCCTTCCTATTGCCCTTTCATCATTCTTTCTGATGAAGGAAGAAGACCTTTTGGGGTAGGATTCTGGCATCTAATGGGAGAGGAAACAAATGCTCAGGAAATTTGAGTATCATGTATTCCTGGTCCCGGGTCAGACCCTGCTTCTCTCTGGAACATGATGCTCCCACCTCCTCAGGGAAAGCAGAGTCTGTTTGATATCTGGCCGGTCTAAAAATCAAAGAGGGAACTTTTCATTCTCAGATCTGTGGTCTTGCCATGGACCCTGGACTGTAAATAGCATTTGGGCAACACTCTTCTTAAAAGAAAAATGCATGTACTTCCAGAGTTAAATGGTCATTCCAAACCCCAGGTTTTTTTAAGAAAAGCAGGTGCTCAGAGCTCATGGGCTTTTGCTGAGTCCATGGATTCTGATTTTAGAGGACACTCACTGTCAAAATCACAAGCCAAAACAATTATCTGCCGCTTCTGTACATTTTTTAAGAAGGCTGTTTGCTTTAACCAGGCACTCTACAGACTGACACATATGAAAAATAAAATCACACTCATTTACACACTGGTACATACTCCCTACTAATTATTATTAAAGCGTGTCCTTTTCAACATGTAAGAATCTCATCAGAAGATTGCATCACACAGAAGCGCAGCAGACAGCCACAGCTTCCGGTATTGCCTTCTTCACAGACCACTGCTTGATGTTGGTGCAGAGGGGAGACAACGGGGTAACTTGCTCAGAGCTTCTGGGTTCTCCTTGAGTCTCTTCCTCATCAGAATATTTTAACCCCACCAGACCGCTGTACCGATTTTTCGGTAATTTCTAATCATATCTTATCTAATCATATCTGTGTCGTGTGCATGGAAAAGCACTCCAGGTACAACAAGCAAAATCCTGGAGTG